ATGTTATGGAAAAAAACTAAACTAAACAACATTTGCCTGGGCACTAAACCCAAATTTTTTACCAAATTTGAATTAAAAATCAAATACAGAAAATAAACACTTTGATAAAAATAAGAAAAAATAAAAAGAGAATTAAAATGAGTGAGTGTGCGAGCACCTTTTCGACACCACCATCTTTGCCGATTTTTTTTTTTTTTGGCATTGAAAAATGCCCTAAAAATTTACAAATATATAGTTTACATAATCAATAACTCATTAAAAAGTTTTCAAAAAATAATACATTTTGTTTTGCCCCGAAATAAAGTGAAAACAAAAAGTTAAAAGTGAAACAAAACAAAATAGTCAGTGGGCGAGCATGTTTTGACACCCCCGTCTTTGACGATTTTTAATGTTTTTTTGCCTTAGCAAAATGACTTCAAAATTTATAGGCGTGTAGGTTACATCATAGAGCACTAAAAAAAGAGAATTCAGAAACAAAAACTTATTTTTAGGCCCCGAAAACGTTTTTGGCGGGGGCCGAACCTCGAGGTGTTTGGCCCCCGAACGGGACCCCGAATGCCCGAACGTTCGGGGGCCAGCTCGGGGGCCCTCGAACGTTTGGTCAGGTAACCCTGTGTATATATATATATATATATATATATATATATATATATACGTATATATATATATATACACAAATAGAGAGCCAGAGATAGAGAGAGAGACACTCACTCACACAAATGCACAACCAAAGGTACATTGTATTTTTGCCTTTAACATATCACTTGTGACTCAACGTACTACGTACCTTATCTTTCTACAAAATATTTATTGTCTAAGGATTTTGAGGTTGTTTAATACATCAATTATAACTCCACGTACTACGTACCTTGCCTTTCTACGTAATAATGATTTTGTTGTCTTAGGATTTTCTGATTGTTGGATTGCAGTTAATATTATTGTCAATTTTGATCATTTCAGGATCGGTAGGGACAAGAGCTGTCTCTTATACACATCTAGATGTGTATAAGAGACAGGTGTGTGTGCTTGCAGGTGCCACAGCATTTGCTTTTCGTACAAGTGACTGCTGCTGATGCTTGGCATTTTTCACTAGAGCTCTTGTAGCTCTGGTGTAGTCCAGGCCTACCAATTGGCAGCCAAGTGGTTGTGCCGTTGCTTTGATATTTTCTGAGGGCCCTTCGTCTTTCGTCCTCTGTATGAATTGATTGATGTGTTTGTGCTTTTATCTGTTATTTACAAGGTGTGATGATTTCTGGCATGGCAGCCTGTTTGTGGTATGTGCAGGGCAGGGCAGCAAAAGCTCATGGTAGGGCCCTAGAAAGGCCCACAAGTAAAGGGCTGCCACTAGTAGTGGTAAAAGTTTTGGTGCATCAAAAGTGTTATTGGGTGAGACCAACGCTAAAAGAAAAAGATGCTGCAGGCACATGTACTGTTGCTGTGGGCAGTCGGTTGCCATATTCCGAGGGCAGGTGTTCGGCAGGCATGACTGTTGCGGACGCGCTCGTACGCGCAAAAGAAGTCAAGTCAAACGAGGAGAGGTCCCCATGATTGATTTGAGAATTTGATTTTCTCATCGTGGTGTCAGTGGTAGCTAATGATCCTGCGTGTCCCGATCCAATCCTAGTCTAGTCTGGTCTACTGTAGCAAGAACACACAGCAGCGAGCAGGTGATCGACTTGGAGCGGTTATTGCTTTTGGATGAGGTTTGCATCAGAGGGCTGTGAGATGTCTGAAGAGAGGGGAGAACATCATCGTGCAGTGGATGCGGCAAGGTTATTCCTCATGGAGACGAAGTTGCAAGAGGAAAAAAGGAAAGAAAGAGAAGAGTCGGCAACGTCCTCAACGACCCGGTGTGTACTCTCGATGAATCATGGATGAAGCTGCAACCGACCCACTTGTGAATACAATCATTGTGAGGAGTCAGGTGGTTGCAAAGAACAACCTTAGGACAAGGGCGGCCCAGTATGGCGAAACATAAAGCTGGTTTACCTAAGTGTAGATTTAGGCTCTCAGTGGGGCCCAGGCGTCATTGTACACTGTACACTGTACATATGCTACATAACGAGTAAGGGTACCGCACTTTCTTTTGTCAGAACTCGCCAGACAAAATGCCGTTCTGAGGGTATACTCACAGTGGGGGGGCTTTTTTCTGGACTCAGCTTCGGACGCCATTCCAGTCAGATGCATCCTCGTCTGGCCGTTCTTGCAGTCAGATGCTTTTGCCGGAAAGTGCTAGTGTGAGTATGCCCTGCGTCTTCTGACATGATTCTGCAGCATTCTGAAAATAGGAGCATTCTGCATATGACAGCTGCCACCTAGACTGCATGGCTCTGCATGCATATTGCTGCAAGGTTGAGTTGATCATCAAGTGTTGAAGGAGAGAAAAAGAAAAGACAAAAAAAAAAAAAAAAAAAGAAAAAGAAAAAAAGAAGAAAAAGAAAAGGAGGCACAGCGAACAAAAAGATAGAGGGGGAGGCAGAGAGGCGCAAAGGGGTCCAGAAAAGGAACGAAGAGAAGAACACAGAAACATCAAGAAAACGGTGTGTTGACAGCCGAAAAAAGAGCTAGAAGCTAGTGTGGCCAGCGTTGCAGCTGTTTTCGATGGAAAGTGGAAGGCCTCCCAGGTATGTGCCAGGGGGGAAGGGGGAGGGGGAGGGGGCCGAGGCCAGGACAGATTTCTGACCTTCGTTTGTCAGACCTGCCATATCTTTTGGAACCTCAAAGAGAACTGAAAATAGACAGATTTGAAGAGAAAAGTTGAACTACTATGGCAATCGTGTGGTCACCAATGTGGAATGCTTTGGAAAGTGGAAATCTCCCCACGTATGCGGGCTTATCGGGACATTGCCAGCTCATCCTCGAGCCATGTATTGTCAGAGCTGCCAAAATATTCTGAAGCTGCGCGGAAAAGTCAGAAAACAGTATAACGAGAAAGTTGACATCAGACAAGACGGTGCATGAATGAACACGGCAACAGGTAAAAGACAGGCAATATCAAATATAGAGAGAGAGGAAAGAACAGAGGAGGCGAGGAGGCGATTGGCCCTCAGATTCTTGTATTATTATTATGATATGATATGAAAACAAAGGAAACTGTTACATAACACGAATGCGCCGTCCAGGTCGTATAGATGCGGAAATGGGGAGAAGAGCTGCAATGCCACCACCTGATTAAGAAAAAGCAAGAAAAGAGCTTAGCATGGCCCCTGCATGGGAATGACACTTAGTAGAAATCAGAAAATAACCAGAATAGGACCAGAAAATGGTGGTTATGCAAATGGTGGCCCGTGTCAACCTTTGGACGATGGCACGACTGAGAATTGGTGGGACCTGCAATAGTTGTTTGGAACATTCGGGAGGGGCGTGGTACGATTGAGAAATGATGGAGATAGTAGTACAACATCTCTAGCCGCCTCTGTCATTGGGATTTCCCATCATTCTGTTTCAAGTAGCCTCTTTTCCTTCTTCTTGGCCATACTCCCCTCCATTGTTGTCGGCGGGCAGCACTCCGTGGCGTACACAACGGTGAGGAGGTGGTGGATGAAAGCAGGGCAGTGAAGAGGCAGCAAGTAGTTCAGAGGGGCCACTGGTGAATTAAGTTCAAGTTAGTTCACTTGTGTAGCGCCTTGGAAGAGGTGGATTAGAAAATCTACATGCTAAAGAGTTCGCGAGGTCTTGTGTCGTGTCGACAGATCATGTGGTCACGGATTGTGCACAGCGAAAGACGCGCTGAGCAAGCGTTTCCCGTTTTTTCACTGTTGGGAATGCGAGATTTTAATGCGGGAAGGGAATCTTTGACTCTGGGACCCATTGACCAATCCCTGTCTCAACAGGCGGAAAAGGAAAGAGGATTACTGAAAGGGGATTCTATGGTGAGCAGTAATCGGGTCTCTTATCATGGTCAGAGTGCACCTCCTCCCCTACCCTTCTCTCAAATCCACCTTGCACTACCTACCTACCTACCACTGCTCCTCAGTCTTTACAGGGGCCCTCTGCATTCTTGCATCCATCTTGAAATGTATTTAATATAATCATTAAGTGAACCAGGTGCAAATTGTTGTGCTTCAGAAATCTGGGCGCGTGAACGCGTCAGAGAAAAATGGCTGGGAAAGGTACTGGTGGTTGGAAAGACAATGAAAATACAGCAAATAATATCTGAAGGTGCAGCCACAGGTTTGGAAGGGTCCTGAATCGTCAGATTTAAATCACAAAGAGGTGGCTGACTAAGATCCTTTGCCTTTTTCAGGTAGCATTGATTGCTCCCTGAGGAGGACTGACGTTCTGGCGAGTAGCCGGTAAGCCGTGTCGTCCGTTGTCTCTAAAAGGTCAAAAAGTTCTCCTGCGTGATGCGGTCGGGAGGGCCCTCGCTCGTGCGGGGGCCGATGTGCTCGACACTGTAGAACTTCAGTCGTTGCAATTCCGGACCAACTTAGGTACACTCACAAAGGAACGCACAACGGAAGTCTACCCTATTGTGCATTTTAACATATACTTCACCAAAAACCCTACCTCATGTACATCCCATCGCCCACCCTGTCCCCGCCCTTCCCCCCTTAGGACGGCACCCACGTCCCCTCTCACCTCCACTGCTTCCAGCGCCCCTCCCCCCTTCGCTCCCGCATCACTTCCGCCCCTGTGACCTGCGGAGCATGCTCCTCGGAAGAACAACTGAGGCAGGGGCTTAGCAGTAGGGACCGAGTGAGTCATGCTCCACAGGTCGTCAACCGAGCCTGAGTACTACTTGCTGCTGCACAAAAGGGGACATGGGGGTTGTTCAGCTGGGGCGCAGCATGGGGACAAAAGTGGCAACAAAGGGCATACTCCCCCTGGAAC